TGGGGGGGGGGGAGATGTACAAGCGAGCAGCCCCAAACTAGTAACTCAAGGCAGGGAGAACCTCATCTGACTGGTCACCACGCCACGGCCCCGCAGCCTCCCTTCCCTCCACCCAGCTGGCTCCCGGGGTCCCTGCGTGTGGCTCGGTGTCCCCAGCGTGCCGTGCCGTACCGCTGTGGCTCCGCATGTGGATCTCCAGGGAGCTGGCGCTGGGGCAGCTCTTCTTGCACTGGGGGAAGGGGCAGATGCGCTCGTTGGGGTAGGTCTCCTTGGGCTTCTCCTCCAGGGCGGGCGAGCCGGCGCTCTGCCGGCTGGCACAGTAGTACATCAGGTGGGCTTGCAGGTTGCGCTCGCTCCGGTACCAGATCCCGCAGTCCTTGCACGGGAAGACGTCCTCTGTGGAGGGGAAGGGACAAGGATGGGACAAACCAGGGTCAGGTTTGGGTCCTTCACTCCCAGAAGGATCTTAAGTGGCTGGAGTGTGGCCAGAGAAGGGCAACAAAGCTGCTGGGGAAGGGTCTAGAGGCCAAGTGTGGGAAGGAGCAGCTGAGGGAGCTGGGGATGCTGAGCCTGGAGCAAAGGAGGCTCAGGGGAGACCTGGCTCTGACACCTCCTGACAGGAGGCTGGAGCGAGGTGGGGATCAAGCTCTTCTCCAAGTGATAGGACAAGAGGTACCAGCCTCGAGTTGCCCCAGGGGAGGTTTCAGTTGTCCCTGAGGAACAATTTCTTGCCCTGGAGGGTTGCCCAGGGCTGTGGCAGGCTGCCCAGGGCAGTGGTGGAGTCCCCACCCCTGGAGGGGTTTCCAAGCCGTCATGGAGATGTGGTGCTGAGGGACACGGGTCAGTGGTGCCCTGGCAGTGCTGGGGGAACACCTGGACTCCGTGATCTCCAAGGTCTCTGCCACCCAAACGATTCTATGACTCTACACACCACGTGCACGACATTCTGCATCCCTGGCACGCTCCCGGCCCCACACCCACCCTCCCCATGCCCTCCGTGCCAGGGGCACTCACTG